GATCATTCCTTGTCTTTAAGGGACCACCAGTCAAAGATAGATCTGAGAGGGTTCATCTCCAAAGGCATTTGTCTGGCCTGTATCACCCCCAAACCCAAACCAGGTATCATCTGCTAAGTCTGAGGAGTCTTCTATACCCAGTGGTGTTGTCACTGCTATGGAAAGTGCTGAATGTCTGAGCTACAACTCAGATCAACTTCAGCTCCTCTCCACTGGGATAGCAGAGTCTGCAGCATCCTGGAGAAAAATAAAGACATAAAAAACTACCAAGACAGGTATTGATCACCCATCCACACACCTCTGCACTTACAGCCAGCTCAAATCAAAAAGGCCAAAGTAGCCCTGAGGGTCTCCAAGTGCTGACAGAGGCAGAAGCGTAAGAGAGGAACGGGGACAGTGATAACTGCATGCCAGACTAGGCTGGTATGATCTCAGGGGGAAAGCCACAAGCAGAAGGGTTTACACAACACAGCAAGATTAATAGGGGAATGGAAACATATTTGTGAGACCTAGATCTACATCTGTGGAAAAAAAGAGAAAAAACAGTTTTGAGAAACCAAATCCTTTCTCATGTCCCTCAGGATCTTGTGAATATGCCTAAAATATTATCTGTCCTTTTCTAACTCTATCAGTTTCAACTCACAAAAAAATATTGCCTCCCTGTAAATTTTGTCCCACTGAAATCCTTAGGTCACCAGCACTATAACAGCAGTAGTGCCATCAGTCGTCATGTCACACATTCTGAAGAGTTCCATCACAATTTCTGTCCATCTCCTGATACCCAGGCTTCTGTGTAAAGACAGTCCTCACACGGGCCAGCACTGGGAATGTCATCCCTCTCTCCACTAGCAGCCAGGCTCATCCAAGGTGGGAGTCCAGCTCCCCAGAAGAACCACTGAGCCACTGCACCCTGCACAGAACCTTTGTGCAGCCAGAACAGCTCCTTTAATTCAGCAGAACTTAGCTCTCTATGGCAGCTATGGGTCTGTCCACAGGAATGATGCTCTCTGCAAAAAGCACTGCCCCTCAGCAAAGCTGATTCCCAGGGAATGCACTGCCCTGTTCATGTCCCTTGGGACCCCTCAGACCCCCCAAAATAAGCAATTGGGAATTCTATGGCCCAGACTGTCCTCACTGCCTGAAATAAGTGGTGACATTTGCTCATGCTTTCCCTCATTTTCAGTGGAAATTTTTGATCTGTTGACAAGGAAACACACAGATCATTCCTGATCCTCTCTTTATTGAGCCAAGCACCACTGATATTATTTGTTTACTTGTAGGAAAATAAAAAGGTTCTCTCCAAACAACGCCATCTCACTCAAAATAGAGTTTCCTGAAAAATAATCACCATTTTCATTAAATCCTATTTAATTTTCAACACTTTTCAGCTGCCTGAGCAATTCCATTAGAAACTCTGATACAAGACTTGCTTGAAAAATGCCTTTCCCAGAATTCCCTCTGTAATTTATTTTTTAACAAATAAATTCTCCAAAGTATCAGTACTCTAGATTCAAACCAAATGACCATCTCTGATCCCCGTGTCTTATAATGTAGGCTCTGCAGATGAGAGTACCACAGCAGTTTAGGTAATTGCCAGGAAATCACATTTTTTAGGCAGTTGTAGCTTATGTTTGGACCTAAGTTTGGAAAGCGATATTGCTTCAGTAACAAGTACTCACTGGAGCACAGCTATGTAATTGAACACCACAGAGATGGACATTAAATGGCAAAGTTGATCATCAAATTAGCTCTTTCTGCTATAGTACATAAGTCCAGACATATTCCAAGGTTTTCTCACTAATAAATGACTTGTTTTGCAAGTTGTATGAATTTTAAGTATTATTCATGAAAGAAGATTATGGTTTTGGCTCCTGGTTACACCAGAGCAATACTGTGAAGTGAATGAAAATTTATACATGCAAGAGAGGGTAAGAGTTGTTCTTAATATATCAATTTATGCAGAATTATCCAATCCAATCCTACTGACATGACAGGGATCCTTAAATAAATATTGATCAATCAAATAGAAAGTCAGCCAATAAATTCAGAGTGATCACCTACTGTTTTATTCATAATAATTCTTCCTAGTCTCTCTTAGTAGCTATATCTTTTGTCCCTCCACATTACCTTTTACATCTTTCCTCAAGGGCTATGTTATTTATCTCTTTTGCCTGGAAACAAGTGCCAGTCTTTTCAAACTCTCTTCAACAGATAAAATTTTCAAGCATAAGACCATTCTAATTTTCTTTCTTTGTACTGTAATTCTGAAAGATCTTTCAGAAGTGCTGCACAACAGGAATTGTTGATTTATAATGGCATTATAATGCCTTCTGTTTTCTTCTTTCCCCTATCCATTACAGATCATAGTATCATGTTTGCTTTGAGTGCAGTTAAACAACTTAATGCTGCTCAGGAATCTTACAGTGCTGGCCTGGTTATCATCTTGGTTAGAATGGATATTCACAAGTAAATAACTCTATGCAGATAATCTAAGACATTGATATCAATAGCTGGAATTCATCTACCCCAATTTTAACTATCAAAAATTTTGGGGTTTTCACTAAGCTCTACTTAGGTTCCTTCCAATATTAATGACAAAGGCATACTCAAAGAGAGATCTAGCTCATGTTGAAATAGGTGAAATAAGAGATAAATTGCCCGTGAAGGTTTCAATTGCTCTAACTTTAGAGGAACACTGACTACAGTTTTAGAATAAAAATATACTGATTTAATGACAAAAGTTTAAAAAAAAACCAAGTTCCTCTCTCCACTCCAAGACATTAATTCTGATTTGCTCCAGAACAGACATATCAGAACTCATGCACCAATGCTTTATGCAGCTATTAAACCTCACCAAGTTCTTAACATTTATTTTGATATTTATTTATTCATCTCTGTCTAATATTTAAAATTCTAAAGACCTGGCTCCTACACTTCTGTCCAAGATTACCCAGACTGAACAACACGCATGAGACATTGCAAGCAGTCAATCTGACACATCCCATAATAGGCAGCAATACCACATTGTTTGTGAGACTAATACATCCAGGACATATTAGCTACATATGTACCAAGCAAACACTCTGCATATCCCATTGACCATATCCTGGATTTAGAACACCTTCAGCTCAGAGTGTGCTGGGAATCTGAAGTGCCTGGTGTCACTCGAGCTCTGCATGGGCTCAATCCCTGCCCAGCATCTGCAGCCACTGACAGCAGGCTGCTGGACAGGCAGAAACCCTGCCAGTGTGACACAAAACACAGGGAAAGGGATAAACAGCCTGGGAATGGAGACTCTCAAAAAGAGTCTTCCAAAGCAGCAGCAATGTTCTGTGTGTATATAACAGCTTTTTAAAGTGTGGGGATGTGATTTTCAATTCAAACACCCATTAAGCTATAATAAAACCTTGCTAAGAATAGTCAAAGACACTTGAGTATTACATACACATACATGCATGTGTTTGTACACACACACAGATATTTTTTTTTAACTTGAAGTTTTTAGAAGCTAATAGCCTGAGCTGCTTACTGCTGATTTGAGGCAGAGGAATATGCACACCAGGCCCACGTCCTCACTGTAAAATCAAGATTCTAAACAGACTGGCCTTGTTTTAACACAGATGAGAGTTGTGGAGTGAGAAACATCTATAAGGCCTCACGCTTAAAGAGTTGGATGTTCCACAACATCCTTAGCCACAGACATAAACCACTACACTAACGGAGTCTCTCTAAAATACTCCTTGGAGAGCAGAGCATTTATGGATTGGAAAGCCATTGCTTTTAGTCAAATCATGACTTACTAAGTAGCAAAAACTGAATTCACAGTGTTTTCTAGCAGTGGATCTCCACTGAGACCAAAGGAAGCAGTAGCAGACTGGGTTTCACAGGGGATTGAGGGGAGCTATAGCTCCCACAGCAGTAGGTCATCTCCAGAGCAGCACACTCCCCTACTTTCAGAAGAAGTCTGCCAACCTTGCTCAAACACATGCAGTTTTCATCCTGCAGTCCTCCCAGGCCACAGGGATCCAGTCTTCCACATAATCCCAGCACATACTTATCAGTCTTCCCTCTTATAAGAAAGTCTGACAATAAACACAGAAAATCTTTCTCATAATTTGGATATAGTCAAGAAAAATACTCTAGGAAATAAAGTAGGAGCTTAATATAACCCAGTCTTATTCAAAAAGGGAAACGTGTCTTTTTTGTACCACCTGAATCCAGTCTTCATCTCATTTTGTTCCCCCTGGTTCAGCACTGGAGGCAAGCATTTAACATCACCATGTCTGTAATTTCTGTGTCTCCTGAGCTTCCTGCAATCTGGAATCACCACAGCCTGGCCCTCAGTTTTCTACCAAATGGTACATCTTCAGGAAGTGTTCTTCCAGACAGTACTATTCATTCTCGGGCTTCCACAGACACAAAATTTAGAGAGATGGCCCTGTTCCATCCAGCCCATGTATTCTCAAAAAATCTCAAAACCACGTAGCGTCTTACTCAATTTCTGACACTTTCTCCTCATCTCCAGAATCATCACCAACTGACAAATTTATAGACATCTTTCACTTTGAAGTTGTCCTGTAACAACTTTCCTCAATTTTTCTGCTATTTTACCTCCTACAACAAATTTTGGTTCACCCTATTAGCATTACTTGACTGTCAAATCAGCATAAACCTTTCCAATTGCTAAAAATAATCATTCACACCTTTCCTTTGCTCTTCTCTGTTCTCCCCAGTTCATTTCTAGTTCCTTTGTATGTTACAATTAGCCACACCAATAGCAAGTTGTGAAATTCATGGACCCTTAATAAACAAACTTTAAAATATATGATTCAAGGCAAGTGATAAGCAGGGAGATCAAGTGCTGTATCCCAGACTGCAGAGCCAATACGGGATGGACTGTTAAGAACTGGGGTCCCACATGCTTATCCTAAGAATATAGCCAAAGAAAAAATCCCTTGTGCAGGCAGAATTCATGTCCCATTTGCAGGAAGGCAACGTACCTGGATGAAGATGTACTCATCCTGAACAACCAGGGAGCTGACGTCGATGGAGCGCGAGAAGGGCCCGCTCCTCTTGGTCTCGGAGCACTCCTGGATCCGACAGGTCAAATAGTGGGTGTCTGCAAGGGGAGCAGGGGAAACATCAGAAATGCCCAGGGAGGAGCCACTTGTCTGTAAACACCATCAGCAGCTCCAAAGAATGTTTTATCTCCAACTAGGGAGATGTTTTTTCAGAATCTGCCTCCAGCCTTTGACACGGCAATTGCTCTCTGAAGTTAGGAGTTCACCACACTTTGACATTGGCCATTCCCTTTTCTGTTGTGCAGACATCCCTCAGGAGACTGAAGTTCAAAACCCCCCATCAATGGAGGGTACCAACTATAAATGCATCAGAAAACTGCTGATGAGACCAAATAGAGCAGAAGCCACCCAGGTAGAATTCACCAATTCCTACATCCTTCTGGAAATCATACCCCTGTCTTCCCTCTGAAACGCCCTAGCCTTGTTGACTGGTTTTAATTGTGGTAGTAAAACACAAAAAGGAAAAAAAAAAGCCTAAATCAACACTATTAAATTTAACTAATTTTTCTGTGAAAATGAGAAGCATCTCTCAAAATTAAATATTTATAGCAAACATGGGCTAGGAATGAAAATGCCATGGCCATGAAATAGCCTGATTAGCTGAAGATTCCCAACAGCAGTTATATGCTCTGCAAGAAGCATCAAATGCTTCTGTCTGGAGAGAAGAACAGAAGACCATCACACTAATGGGATCCTGTCAGGCCTTGACATTGCTTGAGAGGAGGAACAGGACTGGGAGAAGAAGAAGAAAACAACAGAAGGAAAAGGTAGATATACAGAAAGTTAGAACAAGAAGAGACGTGCTCACCTCTAGTAAGTTGAGAGAGGTTATAGGGGTTAAGCATTATTTCACTCAGGCTAAGAAAAGGCCTCACGAAACAGAACAATGAATGCATTGTGTTTCTGGATGTGTGTAATCTAAATACGCCATCTCTGCTTTTCAACTGCTCTTCTGAAAACTGCAAATTAGGAAGAAAATAAAAATACTACTAAGATGACAGCTGGAGTGATAAAAGGGTCATATCTTTTGCACTCTGGCACTTTACAGGCCTCCTAGATTCAAATGCTTCTTTGCTTTTCTGCAAAGGGTTAGGACAGAACATCAATGAAGTAAACAGCAAGTTTGTAAGGGCTGGGGTGAGCCTGGTGCAGTGATTTTAGCTCACAACAGAACTTTCTGACATGGACCTTGTCAAACTGAGCTCAAAATGAAAAAAGAGAAGTTTAAAAAGACAATCACTAGCCCAGAAAAGCTGCTTACAGGATTCTCCATCACAAAAATAGCCTGCCGTGTCCTTGGTCTGTGTCCTTCCAGTTACAGCAATATGTTGGGCAGTGGAAAGCTTTGGGGAGCACAATTGAAATCCTCTGAGATTCAGCCAACTGCCTTCCCAAATTCTAAAACAAGATTCATAGACTGATAGTTTCCTCTTTTATAGTCTTGTCCCAGCAACACTCTTAAAAACGCAAAAAGAATGCAAGTCAGAGTCATTAATAATTAGACTAATAATTACTAAAATAGTTTTTCTAAAGGAGTCAGAAACCACAGCCAAGCTTTAATCTAATGAATGTCCATGCCCAACCACCCAGTGAGTGAAGGCCCCTGTTTAAAGGCTGCAGACCTGGTTCTGGGTTGATGCACCAGGGATTCCAGGTTAATAAGGGCTGAGTCAGAGCAGTCACACAGGTCTGGTGCAATAATGAAATCGCAGTCCCACTGAGGATGCTAAAGCAGCAGAAAATGTTGCTGGTGCCAGCTCAGAGTACTGGGCAGTGATTAAAGTGAATGGTGACAAACACCTGACATAGAGACGGTGCCAATAACCAGAGTATCAGAGCTGTGCTTTCTCCCAGCATAAAATTCCAGCAGCAGCAGCAGCAGAGAGGTCAGACTTTCAGCTGGCATAAATTAAAGTTCTTCATCAACTGATATACACACACTTGGCCCAGAGCTGTTATTTAGCTCCTCAGTGTGGAGCCTAAGCCAACCTTGCAGTGGATAAAAGCAACTTCTCAGAAAACAAGAGGGTCTTATGTGCTGCCATGCCATCCAAAGAGATCAACAGCGGTGACTTGCTCTTTGAGGTAGTTCTAAAATTAGGCAGAACAAGGAGGAGAGGTCAGGAGTTGTATTTTTAGAAGCTCATTCCCTCCAGTACGTTCTCCCACACAGTCGCCTGGATATTCTTATCCTTCCAAAAAGGGGATAATTTGCTGCTGCTGAGTGACAGAATGGGAAGAGGAATAAAAACCTGTCACAAATAAATGCAGATAAATCACAAGTGTTGACATGACAACGAGCTTCCTGCCTATTGGGAAATGTGTCATTTTGAGTGTGTTACACCAGCAATCAAATATACTCAAAGAATGGCACCTGATTAATATTCACAAGGAGATGGTGGTGGAGAAGGGGGGTAGCTCACTACCCACTTTCCATTTAGTCTCTTGTTTTATTTATTTTCATATATTTTACAATACAAACCTATAAAAAAAAAAAAAAACAAACACAGACACAAATAATATATCTTTAAACCTCTCTGCTTTAGGATACCAGATAAAGTTGTCTTGCTTTTTTCTCCAAAATTTTTTTTTAAATCTATTAAAAATCAGGTAAAAAATATAGCAGCATCCAGTTCTGCTCCCATTTGTGTGTAACTCGAAGCAAGAAACAATCTCAAGTCCCTGTTCAAGCTTCTAAAATGTGCTCATTCACAGAGCACATCTTCTCACATAGGAAGAACAGGGTCTCTCAACAAAAGCCTCCATTAAGAGAGAAGAGGCCACCCTAACTTCCAGGCTATTATCAGCCTCTCCTCCAGAATGAGGTAATTTTGCCTTTTTGGGCAACCACAAGGTAAAAGGACATTCACCCAGAGGGGCAGGTGACATGAGACTAAGCCATGCCTCCAAAGCCTTGTTTATCTTTCACTGGCAGTTGTATTGTGTAAGGAAGGTTGTTTCTATCTGGGCACTTCTTCCCATTTATATATTGTCCTATACAACACCAGAATTAAAGGGTTTGGGTGTTTTGGTTTTCAGGGTTCTTTTAGCGGGCTGGATTTTTTGTTACTTTTGGGATTTTTATAATGTTCCATTGCAAAAGGAGTTGAGAAGGGCTCCCTACTTTCCAGGCAGCATTAAAAATTTCTCATGCTTATGAGCAACCCCATCCACTTCCCCAACACATCTGTGAATGTGGCAATATGGGCATCAAGCAGCCTGGAGGGCTTCCTGCAGCTCCAATCCCAGCATCCATGCCTCCACACAAACCCTTCCCACCTCCCTCAGGATTAGGGAATGGCTTTCACAGATGCACAGCCATTTTCCAGCTGAGGAGCCTGAACCACCTCCTCATTGCTATTTAACACAGTCTTCCATCTTGAGATTCTGGAGTGTATTTTTACCCTTTTTGAAGTGACAAAACGGAAACAATTTCTTGAGACTGGAAGGGACAAACTGGTGAAATAAACCAAGCTACCAAGTTTCATCTTTTCCTGCCAGCCATGCCAGCTTTGGCAGGAAGCAGGAGCACAAGAGGCTCTCTCCCCAAAGACGTGGGTTCCTGAAGGGAGGCAGTGGAACAGACAAAGCTGTTGCGCTGCAGGCTGCAAAGGGCCAACCTGTATGCAGGTGGCTGTGACTTAGACATGGAACAGAAAGTCCTGCCTTCCTCCTGGGATGGTTGGCCAGCATGGCTAACAGGGAAAAGGGCAGCTGACAGTGACAAGCTGCATTGGCAGATTGGCTCAGCTTAAATCAGGCCCTGGTATCAGGCAAGACTTAAAATCATAAAATCTTAAAGGTTTCCATGAGAAGGAGAAAAACTCACTGGCCTCAATAATTTTTCCCCCAAAGAGAAAGACGTGTAGACTCTCCAGGAATTAGTTACCCTGTTTTATCCTTTTGGTTAGCTTTTCTCCTCCTCTTTTTCCTATAATTCAAACCCTGTTTATTGCAGTGTATCTGTGAGTGGGGTGAAGATTAACTCATTGAACATCAGGAAGTTCAATATATCCTTCCCAGGAATGCTGGTGGGTGCTTGTGTCAGTGTGATCATAACAGTCCCCTTGCATCCAGCCCTGTCCTTGCTGCTGCCTATTACACTCTGGCAGAAGGCACAATGCCCAAGGCTCCTACATGTTTTTACAATTTAAAAATGCATGCCTCGATTATTATTCTGCTACAATGACTCTGCCAAGATGTCGAAAAAATGTGAAAAACTTCATCTGCCTCAAAAGATGGGAACAGCTTGAGATAAGATAGGCACTGGAATTATCAGCATCTTGCAGTATTTAAGGAGACCAGGCACAGGGGCAGATGGGTTTTTCAGAGACACAACCATGACTGGACAGACAAACCATGTGGCAAGATATCTTGAAGGACAGTCACCAGAGAGGTGAACAGGACTGCCAGCTCCCAGACCCATAAGCTTATTGATAGCCCTGACTCATCTATGGATGAATGAGATTCCAGCATGCCCCACCACCTGTTCCCAGCTCCAGAGCTCCTCTTAGGCTCCTCTGTCTGAATTGGTATTAGATGGGTTCTTGAGTCCCATTAATGCCAAAAGGAAAAAAAAATTAAAAATTAAAAAATCATCAAATTCAGGAGTCTAGTCCTAAATAGCACTTCCATTCCTTCCCCTCCCTTCTCCACTGCTTTTACTCACTATTTTTTTTTTCCTTGAAAACATGGAGGCAAACAGAAGAAGAAGAAAGAAAAATGCCCAGCCTAGAAGAATCATGTAGTTTTCAAGTAGCCAGTGACATTGAAGGCATGAATTCTTCCATTAGAATTAAACTAAGCAATGGGAATACTTAAATCTATGTCTGTTAATGCATCAAATAAGTGACTGAGCCACCAGACTGACCTAAAAGAAGCATTAGAGAAGCCTTTTCTTCCTTCTGCATAATACTGAGGAAAACTTTCACCAGAAGCTTTCTGATCAAGAGGAAGTAACTGCAGGGCCCCATTTTCCAGCAGGTGTAAGTGCCTCAGCTGTTTCACTGAGCACAGGAAGGCCCAATTTGGTTGCAGAACTAACTGTGAGAAAAGTTCAGTGCCCCATTCCTGAGCACCCAGAGCTGAACAATATCACACTGGGGAAGTCTACAGCTGTGAGGCTGTCATCTCTTTGTAACACAAACTAATATTGTTTCAGGCCTTAGAACTCTGACTGGAGCAGCACTGTTCTTCTGTGCTGTGCTGGGAGAGGAGTCCTTGGTACAGGCCAGCAGGGCCAGCACAGATCTGGGAGGGCAGCTGCACTGGGGCTGTTTTGCTGACACCACTGGCCAAGCCTGGCTTCCAGTGAAACCCTCAACACCATCAGCTGCCAATTTCAAAATGCTGAATTTATATATTAAAACAAGAACAAAGAGCAAACCCCTGAGCAAACAAGACCTGAAGGAAGAGAGCTGTCTTTAAGCTGGGGATACATCTTTCAAACATTTACATCCTTGACATATCCAATATTCAAATAGCTGGGTGAGCAAGTTTAAACTTAGTTTGAAAACAGACTCCATCAGCACTTTGCTTGCTTGCTTGGGATTTTTTTATTTGCATTTGACCACTTCTTCCATCATACCTGTGACAGTACACACAGCAGCAAAGGCACTGAAGATGCCTCCCTACCTTGTCCACCCACCTGTCGGCCTGTTTTGCTTTTTCCACATATTCAACAAACAGCTGTCACCCCTGAGCTGTTATTGCCTGGTTATTTATTCAGCTGCCATCACTAAATAGCAGTGGGAGGCCAGTGAGTGATATTAGAACATCCACAACCTCAGAGAAGCCATCTTGACAGACAGAAGTTTGTTCACACATCTGGCCTATGCAGCACTTGACTAAAACAGAGAAAAGTTTGCAACCAACAAAAATGAGGCTTTTTTTTTCCCCCAGAAATCCTTTAACTCCTTCATCCTATGCTGTTTTTCTATACTATCCCTGCACCAAAATAGGACACTTGTTCCATTTCCTCACACTGGAGTAAAATTCCACACAAGGAGCAGATGCATTACTATGCTGCAGTTCCTGTGAGAAATACCTAAAACACTTCAGAGAGAGTAAGTCAACTTACTTCTAATACCATGTCTTTGCTGGAAATTGACTGTAGGAATTCATTCCACTGCAAATGTGACTAGATTTATTTCAGTGAGGAGTTAAGATTTTTTTTTCCTATTTCCTGCTTCAGATCCAGGCACATTTTCAAGCCTGTAATATGTTGGTATGGAACACTTATTCATACATTATGAGCAAAACTACAAAATACTTTCAATACAAGACAAAGAGGTATAGAGACATTCTGGCTGGAGGGCAAGTCTGACTGCAGGTAATTTCTCAGATTCTCAGGTACCACCTAGCTGTTCTGAGCACCTCTGGAAATGCACAGAGGTTCCATGGTACAGTGCTGGTAGCCCAGCTCTTTATGATTGATGTAAACTATGTGATACTGAAACTGCTAAACATGGAACAGAGTGGATGGGTTCTTAGCCCAACAGACTGTGCTTCTGTCCACCCCCTCCACAGACACAAGCCCTACAGCCACAACTTTCCCCTGCAAGTTCAGGATAAGAACATCACATCAATCCCCATGACCCACATCTCCCCTTCCAATTAAAATGTAAATGGAGAGGTAAAATGGATGAAGTGGATTCTCATTCCCACTCCATTCTTGGCCCAAAGCCCAGTTTTCAGCACTGGCTGCAGGCACTCACGTCCATCAGCTGTCCGGGCTTCCATGTGCACAAGGTCAGGTTCTTTATCCAAACCAGCCACTGACCTGGGAGGAGAGACACAGAGAGAGAAGGCAGTCAGTCAGCTGAAAGGCTGCAATCAGACAGAGCTGGTGAAGGAGCACAAAGCCAGTTTAAACCTACCTTGGGGCACCTGGTATGTAGGTCTCCACCTTTTAACAACTCATCTCCTTTGTATTTCCACACAGACCATGCTCAGGGGCCCTACACCAACCTTCCCAGGCACAGCAGAGTGATCCTGCCTGTCCCTTGTCTACAAGATCAAGGCTACTATGACTGTTCTAGTGATAGCACAGAAAGCTGATCCCAAGACCCAGTAAAATCAGAGTTCTGGCTTAATGCTGAAGGAAAAACAAGGGCACAGATGCCTCATGCCTTCAGAAAGCAAATTAAAAGGAGGTTTCATTTGGCTGATTAGAGACACGAAAGACTAAGTCTCCTGATTTGCCCCTGGTTTGCTGGGCAATCTTGTTATTCTTTACCTCCTTTTTCCCATCTTCAGAAGAACAACAGTGTTGCACATATGGTGAATTTCTGATTTTAAAAAGGTGAGAAAGTATTCATTATTCACACCATGATCCCATGACATCCATGGTCCTTGACAATTATGAAAAGAGGCACAAGGAGTTTCTTTAATCTCACTAGCTGGAACTCAAGCACCTCAAGTCAAATCTTCCCATGCATTGTTATTTACTCTCTAAAAATATTTTTCAAAGGACATTAAAAAGATACTTTTCCTCCTGGAAGAGGGAAAGTCAAGCCCAGAACAGAAATGTTATTATTAGTGTCCTGGCTGATAAGAATCACTGAGAGATGAACATTTAGTCCTAGCAATGGCTGGCAGGGGAAAAAAAAAATCCATAGATGTCCACGTGATTTATGGTGCTGCTTCTCCTGAGTTAACCAAAGGGTTAGATTAAAAAGGGACAATGACAAAAATCAGTTTCTAATTCGGTGGGAGTTGAATTTGATACAGTAGATTGTAAATAATAGATTCCCTCTGAGCCAGCCTACATTCAGAACTGCCTAATGTTCTGAAAACATTTTTATCACATTCTTTGTCCATTTTCATCCTTGAGGCATCAACAGCAAAAACAGTAAAAATAATAATAAAAATAATTTTAAAAATACAGATGCTCTGATACATTTTTGTGAATCCCACAAAAAAAAAAGCAAGTGAAGCAATGACAAACATATAAATGTGCTGGAGTTCAGCTCAGATCAGGCAGTGCTGCAAATGTCAAAATAACTACATTATGACCCACTGTGCAGGTAACTGAATCTGGCACTGCTTGTTAACGAGAGCACCACATCGATAGGAAGTCCATTCACAACACCCTGAATTGTGGCCAGAAGATACCAACACCACAAAACAGAGCAGCACAGGCAGGGCTTTCATCATTCCTCTCACAGTGAGAAACAGTCTGCTCCTTAATCGCTACCATCAGTTTCAGGGTGATCCCACAAGCAAGAAAGGCTGTCTGTTATTGGCAAGGATGCCAGAATGAGCCAGAATTCCTGTGATCACACAATTATTGGGATCAAAGCTTCCCAATATATGGACATGGTTAAAAGTGACAGTAGGATACACAGAAATCCCTTTAAATGTCAGTGAAAAACATTACAGTGTGCTGCAGTGTTAGTCCCCAATGTATATAGAAAGCACTCTTTCTAGTCCATAGCAGAGGTTTCCTGCCTTTTTCAAATGAGTAGCACTAACTGCTGTAATTTCAGTCATTCAGTAACCATCACCCTGGTCTATGACCTGCCAATAGAGACAGATGTACATGCTTACCGTCATATCTATTCATCACAACTTAATGAAACAGGGCAGTAATTCCAACACTTTGAGGTAAAGGTTGGGAACACTTTGGGCACTTGCCCTGCAGCTCTTACCAACAGGTTTCCTACTTAAATTCAGCCTTAAATGCACTCTCCTGGCATCCATCCTTCTGGAAGCCAGACACCCGGCTCCTGCTCAGAGCCATTTGCAGCATCCTGACACACATCTGACAGTTTCAGATGGCTTCACCTGGCCCCCTGACATCCTCTGGGTCCCTCCCCTCCAGATGGAGGGACCACTGTATCTCCCCTACAGCAATGGGGCAAAACTGGCCCAGGTAATAAAAGACATCAGTCTGCCACAGTACTATTCATTTTAAAAGGGACTGCAATTAGAAGAACCTAAGTATATCCTAACAAAATCCAGAATAACTCATTACCATTGTGCATTTGCATGCATGAGCTCTGTGGATCTACTCATAATGCCTTTCAAGTGTGCACCAGGGAATGAGAGGGATCTCCTGAAACTTGTCATTCTAGCTTGAAGTTCTTTTCCAGTGCCATCTACTTGTTCCCTTAATTAGTTTTGACAAGCCTAATGGTTCTTTTCAGAATAACAATGATGACAAAAAAGGATAGGCACACAGCACACTCCTAGTACTCCAGTACTCCTCTGTTCACCAAATAGTGCTCTACAAGTTGAAAAGCTCACAAAGTGTTCTGCAACACAAAAGCAAGACAGGCTGCTCTATCTGCAGGCAGATAAGGCTGGAAAGTGATGCACTGGTCTTCCTTCCTCCACCCAAACCAAGCTGCTTTCGTTTACCAATGACTGATTGCAAAACAGATCCCAAATCAATGCTGCTTCTTCATGCCTCACCTCACATCTGTTCCCACTGGCAAGGAACAGAGCTTTGTTTTGCATTGCTCTGACTCTTGAATTCAGGTATTTTTAGTAAATGGTCTCTCATCATTTGTCTAGAGGAGCTTTACATGAAGAATGCAAAAAAGTCAGCAGTGGAAAGAGCCAGATCCTGAAGCACAGCTGCAACAACACATGCACAGACTCTAAATCTATTCCTTTATCCTGTTGTAATTCTCCACCTTTGAGAACTCACTACAGCAACCTCACAGGTGTGGCAATACAGGAGCAGCAACAAGAAGAGACACATTCACAGCCTTGTATTTTCTTACACTCTGAAGAACATTTGGAGAATGTACTGCCCAGCATTATTTTAGCAACTAAAGCACATTGAGGGGAGATGTCAGCATCCCCTGACTTACACATCCAAGTGTAGCCCACAGAGTGTGGTGGCTGGGAAAGGCTTTCATGGTGCCCTAGCTAAAAACCCTGTCCAGAGGCTTATAAAGACAAGAGAATTTAACACTCAGGAGCCTGAGGTCCTGACCCATGGTCACACAGATCTGTGCATATGAACTCCAGACAGCAAAATTTAAACCAAGGTTCACAAAAGCACCTGTGTGTGCTGCTGTGATGGCCATAGGGAGTAAAATAAGGCACCCTCGCTGTGAGGAACTGAGCTAAATCAACATCATCCACCATCCCTATTCATTAATCACCCCTGGCATGACAAAATGCTGAGAGCATGCAGGCAGTAGTGACAGGAAAGGTCAGTTTTTCCTGCTGACACTTTCCCCAACTGCTTGCTGCAAAAGCAGTTTTTAAAATGTGGAGCCTGCAGCCAGAATTGCAGCAGGCACAGGATAATTTTCCAATTAAGAATTCAAACTACCTCTGAATTCCATTAAAAGGAAGAATTGTTACGTTTTTAGTATCTTCTGGTGCTGCTTTTCCTTTTTTTTTTAATGTTAGCTCAAGATCCTTCCTCCCTTCTTTTCAGAAGAGAATTGTGTGCTCTTGAAGGATGGACATGATCCTGGCAAGATCCTTATCTCTATCCTGAGGGAAGAGCATTGTGCATGGATGCACATTTACTAGGCCACTATGCTAATATTTTAATCTCTGACTGGGAGCGAGAGCAGACAATAAGGGCAAGGAAAACACAATATCTGCACTTTAACTATTCCTGAAGTGTTTCCTTGTAGTTTCCAACTACAAGGTGTTATAGACTTCAAAATAAAGAATGCCAATGCATGCAAAGAAAGGAAAAAAGAAAAACAGAGACTCTTCAGGTTACCTGCCTACTGCACCCCGGCTCCCTTTTTCTGCCAACTCTAATGCCTTTCCATGGAATAAACAATTCTTGCATTCTTTCTACCCATTTTGCCCTACCCACCAGGCATTTAAAGGTAAAAAGGATTGACATTTGTCTGCTCTACCATTTTAAATGAAAACAGCTGAGCAATTCCAACTGCCTCTGTTGATCCTTGCTCCCTAAACCATCAACTGAGAGTAAGAGATGCTCTATTCCTCTGTCTATTGGACCCAAGAGTTCAGGAGGTTTGAGTGAGTATCACTGAATGTGAGCAACATTTTTATTTAGGATTTACAACAAGATACAAGCAAAAATTCAGGTTACAGGAGTCTGCCTTTCAAACTTGATCTGGAACCTGCTGGACTGAGCTTTTTGCCAGGGGTGTGTCTAGTTTCTGACCAGTCAAAGTAGAATTCCCCTGCTTTGAAAACAAAGTCAAAACTTTTACAACAAATTTGACTTCCAAGATGCTGACTTGAAAACTCAGTTTTGCAGGTTAAGATGTCAGACTGAAGGCAATTGCCAATGTCCATGTAAAAAGACAGAGGAAACAGATGGATACTACCTAGCAGGATGTTGTGCACTAAATAAGGGCTAGAAACATCAAGGAAAAAGGCATATTTATTGTACAATAACATGTAAAGGAGGAAAAACTCCTCCTCTTGCTGCAGGAAACAGCAGTTAAATTAGTGGATGTTGCCAATTAGTCTGATGTAATTTTAATTCTATCCTGCTCCAGAAGTGAGTAAACACTTTTGTGTCATACCAGGCAAGCAGTGCATACTTCTAACTCATCCAAGCAACACAAGAGCCATGCCTATGTGCATATATGGAAGCAGGAACTAATTCATTCAATTCCCACTCAACTGACCTGGAGTTTTCCACATGGAACCCTTGCTCAATGACACATACCTTTCCAACAGGCTTCTCCTCTCTCTGACACTGCATCACATTTGTCTAGGTATCAATAACTGCAGTTGGCTTCAGATGGAATCACTACAAGGTGATTCATGTATGAGTTGGTCTGAAATCACCTCCAGCAGACATTAACTCTGGGCACCTACCAG